TCGTGTCTGGTAGGGACGCCTGCCACCCAGAGCTTCAGACACAGAGACTGAAGTTCATTGCAGATGCAAGCAATGGGGAATAGGGGTTCTTAATGGAAAACCTTAACTGTGAGCATCACTGGTGCTCCACCTTAATAACTTTAATGACTCGTATGTCATAGTGAAGAGTGGTGTATGCTGAACAAATGTCTCCATAACCTCATTCGTTAAGAGACGAATCTTTCGGAATCTAATGTTAAAGTCAAGTAAACAGCACGTTTTGGTGCAAACAGGCTTAGTTATGGAATTACTTACACTGTGCGGACATCCTTTGGTGGGTGTGTACGTGTGACACAAAGGAGCAGACATGATGAAGTTCACAGCATTTGCTGACCAGCCAGGCTAGAGCCTGAAGACCATTTTGACTAGGGCATAAGGGAGTGCTGTATAAACACTGCACAGATGTGCACCGTATCTAGAAATTTGTGATTGGGAAGGGATGAGAGATCCCTTCAGAAGGAAACAAGCAATGAGGCTCAGATTGTGTAAACCACTTTATCTGCCTTAGGGAAACAAAAATCCCCATGTGGAGCTAGCAGAGGGAGGAAAATAGAAACAAGTGGGAATATTTAGCATGAAGTTTCTCTTTCAGTTCCCTCGTGCCCTATTTTTGTCCCTCGTACTGCACTTGAGATCCCAGCAGTCTCCGGGAGACCGGAGCACGTAGGTACAGCCGATGCGCAAACGCTTCGCTCTGTTACAGAGCTGCTCTCGTTGGCAGCCCCGGTTTGGCTGAATGCTGCTGTCCTTGAGGACCTCCCTCCTCTGTAGCTTTCTTTTCTAATTTTCTTTGGTTTGTTTTGAGTTTTTGCCTTTATCTATGGACATTGGAAAATTTGCTAAGTGTCTGGAATAGGGCAAACCTTGCTCTGTTTTTACCAGCCATATCCTTTGAAGTGGGTGGCCAAATGAGATGTGGGCTTGTCCATTCTGACCCAGATGTTTTTGGTGTTATTTAACAACAGTGAAAAAGTTCCTGTGTGAAGAGGTGATTGTTACCAAGTTTTGCAATTGCCACTGTGGCGCTAAATGTTTTTCTGAATCATTGTTTCGTGTTTGATAGCGTAGGTGTCGTGTTTGACAGATCTGTTAGTGTGTGCTGTGGTGCTTCGCTGAGAGAAGGCGGGCACCAGTGAACTCACCTGCCTGGAAGACGATTTGGTTTGTTGCTTGTCTTCTGTCGACTAGCAATGCTTACAAGCCATCTCCGTTCACCATATAAACTCTCGGAGCTTGGAGCCTCCTATGGTGGACTCTGGCGGAACGGTCTGTGGAGGTGGCTCTTTGGTGCTGCTCTGTGCCAAGCGGTTGGTGTTAGTTGTGTCATCTGCCAAGCTCAGCATCACAGAGCAGAACGGAGCTCCTCAGCTCTGTGATGTGGGGCCAGTTCTCAGCTGGTGGTGTATCTCCAAGCAGTGAATGAAGCTTGTGTGTCTTAAAGGCTTGTTCACAAACTCACTCAGGGAAGACCTGAGTCCTCAGAACCTCCCATGGTTCTTTGGTGAGCTTAAAAATTCATAAATAAAATAACCACATTTAACTAAAACCAGGCAGCAGAATGACACTGCCCTATTTCTCCAGCTTGGTGAGGGGAAAAAAAAAAGAAAAATCATCCAATTGGTGTTTTACTTTGGGTAATTGGAAGAACGAAATCCAGATTAGATTTAAACTCCAGTTTATTACAAGTGCCCTGCAGCACCTCTTACCTAATGAGTAGAACAAGCTTCTGCTTTTTCTGGGTGCTGCCATAAACCACATTATTTCCTTAGGTAAAAACCTTGCCAAGATCTCCACAATATGTGTATCCCAAGCTAGAAGCTAAACCACTCTGAGTTTTTTGAGCCCTTTCGTTGGAAAGTGTAGACACAGATTTCAGTAGTTAACTGTGGATGTGGATTTATAGCTTCAACTTTCAAAAAACTGGCCTTGGACAGCTTACATGGCAGCACCCGCACGCTTTAGGCTGAGGGCTCAGTGGTCTTGTGGCAGGGAATGAAAATGGGTGGCTTGAAGCTGGTACTGGTGAAGACCACCTAAAGGATGCTGCTGGCCAAGTCAGGGACACTTGAGCTGCTTCTGAGCCAGCATGCGAACGGACACAGGTTCCAGCCCACTATTTCATGGCAAATAAAATTGAGGTAGTTGTATTTGTGCCCAGCTGCCCGCGTAAGTCTCGTCAGTGCTAACTTTGGCCATCCAGTTTTAATTTACTGTCGCGTGTCTGCCAGAGCAGTGCAGGAGGGTGGGAGGGAGGGTGTTTTCCCCGATGATTGCTGTTGACATTTGCAGAATAGAAGTGAAGTCAGCTGCCTGTTTGTTCAAAGGTTTTAGTGCCCGCCGTGGTTCTCGGCCAGCCGGGATAGCTTGGTGCCTTGTAGCCCAGCAGGGACCTTCCCAGCTGCAGCAGGGGGAAAATCGATCAGTGTTGGTGTTTAACTTTGTTTCTCAGACCAGGGGCATCAGTGAAACCAAAACGATTGATCTTGCTATCAGTTTAGGGAAGCAAATGAGAGGTATTCTGTTATTTGCTGGCCCCACAAAAAAGGAGATAATTAAGGAAACATTCATATACATACATCGGCTCAGGGAAGCTGTGATGTAGGAAAGGACTGATGGCTTTGTTTATTGGGGGCATCTTGCAGCTTTGATTTTTCACCAATGACAGGTGCTGCAGAAGCAAGGCAAGATTTCAGTCTTCACTCCAAGATCTGCAGAGGGGGTGTGTGTGAAGGCTGATGTTTATTTGTTCTGATGTTGCAGGCTCAAGGGAAGAGGCTAAGCATGACGTGGTTGCTGGTGGTCTTGAAAAGTAGCTCCTCTCTGGCTGGATCCAGGCTCTGCATCTAGTAGCAATTATTAAATTACTTTTCTTTCCTAGAAGTGTGGTCATGGACTTGGTTGTCACAAGACTGAGCAAAACTCACATTTTATTTCAGCAGGCTGGTGTCTGCTAGGACTTGAAAACATGACTACTGTGTGCAAGTGGATTGAGGGGACATCTAATGGAAAAAGGGTGATTGTGGGGACAAAGAAAGTATGTGAGCTGTGTTGTAAAGAACAGGAGCAGGTATGGAACAAAGATGACACTGGTAATAATTGCGAGCTGAAACTGGGAAGAAATGAGGAGAGACTTGAGAAAATGGCAACGTAAAAGATCTAGCAGAAGTTTCTTTAGAAAAGAGGAGGCGAAGCAGAACAAGGGAGAGAAGTAGGAGATGGAGGAGGAAGTGGTTGCTAAGTTCAGTTAATAGCAGCACTGAGGACAGTTTTAATTGGAAACCTGTTACAATTAACTGCAGTTCCGCTCCCGTGCGTTTCGGGAATCGTGGCAGGTAGTTTTCCTTTTGGCTGTTGGGTTGCTGATGCAGAGTATGGTGGGTTTCAGGCCAAGCAGCAGATCTGCATTTGTGCTCACCAGGCCCTGAGCAAACATGTTAATAATGTCACGGGAGGCAGCACTACAAACTGATTTCGGGTTTTTCTGTAGCAGACGGGGAATGCACTCCGATTCTGCCCTGTCTAAAGCTGCTGATTTTAACTGTTCAAGCATAACTCTTGTCACCTGGCAGGAAGACATTGACCCTAGTTGGTGCTGGAGGGAGACCTTGACCTCATTGGTATGACCCGTGGAGGCTCCTTCTAAATCCCCTGGGGGACTTTCTAAGTAGGGAAGGGACGAATCTGCAGCTTGTACATTCTTTATGTCTGGAAGGATGAAAAAACAACCATAGAGGGTTCCTAAAATTCATTTGAACTTAGTTGTCCTGTACCTCTTTGTGTGCTGCCAGTGCCATGTGCTGGAGAGCTGCTTTAGACGCTGGTGCTTCTTCAGAGGCTCTTCTGAGCAAGTCAGGCAGCCTTTTGCATGCTGGTGAGCAGGATTGCTGTGACTGAGATGTTAGGGATGCATCTTTCAAATCTCTTTGGTGATTAAAAATCAGAACAAGTAGAAACCCGTGACTGCAATTTCAGTTAAAAATGACCACTTCCTACCCTACAGAAAAACCCTCTGGATGTAGAAAACACAGAAATTGGGAGGTCAGCAAGGGGGTATGTGTTAAAGCCAAGCCTTGAACAGTGGGAACTGTGAAAGCTTGAGTAAAGGCAGGTGTGACATGGTTCTTTGTTTCTGAGGGAAGCACCTGGCTCTGTATACCATCAAATCACAGAAGAGGCTGGGTTGGAAAGGACCTTCAAAGATCATCCAGACCGCCCTCCTGCTATGGGTAGGGATATCTTCCACTAGATCAGGTTGCTCAAAGACCCATCCAGCCTGACGTTGAACACTTCTAAGAGTGGAGCATCTTCAACTTCTCTGGGCAAACTGTCCTACACTTACTGTAAACCATTTCTTCCTTGTGTCCAATATAACCCTGCCCTCTTTCAGTTTGAAACCATTGCCTCTTGTCCTGTTACTACATGCTTTCATAAAGAGTCTCTTTCCATCTTTCTTAGAAGCCCCTTTTATATGTTGAAATGCCTCAGTAAGGTCTTCCCTGAGCCCGGTCTTCTCCAGGCTGAACAACTCCAACTCCTGTAGCCATTCTCTGTAGAAAGCTTTGGTTTTATTGTGCAGGTTTGTTTAGCTTGTGAGCACTAAACCAGTAATGAATGTTTGTTACCTGTTGAAAGATGCTTCCTAGACTGTATGCCATCAAGTGATTTTGATCCCTTGGAAGGTGACAGACTCCTCTTGCTAGCTGTGTGCTAGAACTGCTCCAGATCATTCAAGGACACTGGATGGTAGAGGGAGATCTGCGTTCATCCGTTTCCTTTCTCCCAAATCGTGGGTGAGACTAGTGAGCAAGCCTTTGAGGCCAGCCGGCTGGGTTGTGTGAGCTATCACAGCCATTTCTTCTGTCTGTCCAGAATGCCCAGGTTAAAGATGAATACTTTGCAGCTATGTGTAGAGCAGATGTAAAAAATACCCAACAGTTGTCTGTCTCTTTTTTCACTTGCAGGTTTATTCTTCAGTCTAAAGGAGTGATTCATAATCAACTCTTAGAAAAGCAGAGACTAGCTGAAGAGAAAATTAAGGAATTAGAGGTAAGTTTTTGGCAGGTAATGATGATGAGAGTAGAACATTGAAGGTCAACTAGATGCTGTTTGCTACATCCCTTGTTTTTATCTGGTACTGTTCGTTCTGAAGGATTGTAACTAGGTGAAACATAGCGCCTGTTGCAAGTAACCTGGAAGTAATTCATGTCACTCGGTTTCTTTGCTTGATCCACAGTCTCAGTAGGAATTGATGTTTGCTTTGTGTCCTCGTATGAAAACTGGGGGTGAGGGGTTCAAATGAGATTAATGGGAGCAAGGTTTAAAACCAGCAGAAAGATGTTTGTGTGGTTATTTGTAGCAGATAGGTGATGTGAAACTTTGCCAGTGCTGTGGATGTTAAGTTTACACTGGCTCAGGACAATTGCACAAATTCATGGAAGAGAAATCCGTTGAGAATTACCAAATATGTAGAAATGGCATCCTGCTCAGGAAGTCTCTGAGCTAAAAATGTCTGGAGGCTGGGAAAGTATGAAGAGGAAGTAGCATGTACGCCTGCCCTGTCCTTACACTCTGCCCGAGGCATCTTCTTGCGGCTGCTGTTGAAGACTGGATCTAGAGGGAGACGAGACTTTTTGTTTTCACGATGTGGTCAGAGTGTTTCTGTGTTCTTACGTTTATCTGGTTGGAGTATTCAAGGCAGAGGAGAATATCTAGGAAGTACAAAGTAGTGTCTACGCAAGTTCCAGTGTTCGAACAAGTTATCTAGTGGATCTTGGCAATCTTCTAGTGGCTACATGTACAGCTTACAGTTCTTCAGCGAAGATGCTCAAAATGTACTTTTCCAAGGCCATGAGCGTGTTTTTTCTCTTAATGCCTCTAAAATATAATTAATATAAATCCCTGTTCCTTGTTTTTTGGGGAATGACAGAGAAAGCCAAGACTGAGTTGTGTCAAGATCTCATCTGTTAGTGTTTTGGAGAAAGTGAGTGTGGAGACCAGCTAAGTGGGGACAAGTGGGAATAAGAAGTCAGTGCTCAAACCTGCTAAAACCCGTGCAGTTCTGTCTCTGTCTCCTACTTACACTAAAGCAGAAGTAGAGTTTATATTATTTTAACTCCTTCCTAAAACTCAGCTGTAGTGCAAACACATCACCATATGTTGTGATGCCTGGAGTGTTTTCTGTGCCAGATACTAAGGGGTTTTGTGGTTTTGGCCATGAGAACTTTTTCTGCACAGGGAAAACATGTACTCCATGGATAGGCTGTATATTTAAGGCAGTGTTAATGCAGACAAAGCACAGTCGTTTTTATGATTATGTGATAAAAGTGATCATATCCTGGCTACTCTGGAGCCATCCCAGATGCCGGTGGCTTTGTGCAAAACGGCCCTGTGATTGGAGTTGGAGAATTTCTCAGCAGCACATCTGGATTTGGAAGTGATTGACATGTGGTCGTCAGCCTCTGTTCACAACCTGCCCGTTGGGTCCCTTACTGCCAGCTCCACTGGGCTGTGCTCAGCTTTTTGGCTACTGTGCCCTTCAGCTGTGCATCTCGGTTTCTGCCTGTTCCTGGTGGGGAATGGTCTTGCCTCCGGAACTTTGATTGCTGAGTTCAGCAGAATGGGTGGAATGCCCCCTGAATTGTAACCTTTGCCGTTCTTACACCAAGCCTCAGAGCTGGCTGCGTCGCCGATGTGTGTTTCTGCTTCGTAGCTCCCTGTGGCTCGAGTCTCTCTGCTTATGGCCACTGAACTGAAGTTCCCCGCAATAGTGACTGTCTCACAAGTGCTAGAGTGGAAAGGTGTTGCCACATGGGTTGGTTTTTCTTTTTAACCATGGAGAGTAGGACTTAAGATTGCCAAAACTTTCAACAGTTTGTTTTAAGTGAACAGTCAAGTCCATCTTTTAACTACTCTGCTTCCAGCTGGCTGGCAGTTTTGTGACAAGGACATTCCTTAGGCTTGGGATTCCCCATGGAAGAGAACAAACTGTTGAACTGACAACTGCTGGAAACTGAGATTTCAGGGGCAATACCTGAGTCCAAGTCAGAGAGCACTTATCACAGGAGTAGGGTATTTTGCAGTCCTGAAAACAAGTTGTGACAGAAGCAGGAAAGAATGTGAAACTTTGTGACCTTGTACTTCCACTGCATCATTGTAAAATAAATACCAAACCAAGATAGGTTAAAACTTCCCTCCATCTGTTATTAAAGCTGGAAGGATTTTAAAGTTTAAGTTTGTATTTTACATTGTTAACTACCTCATTACTTACTCACACTTCTCACTTTGCGTAGTCGAATCAAGCTGGTCAGAGTAATCCTCCGGTATCCATACGGTGTGGCTGATCTGGTTACTCGTGTAGCGTGAGCTTGAGACAACTCTACCTTGTTGTTGTTACACCGTTGCCCAGGTGTTGTGAAACGTGTGTTTCTGCTGCAAGGCCCAATTCGAGAAACGCTCTCACTGCTGACGGGGCGCAGTTTGCGGAGCAGCACACGCAGAGGGCTGGGCTCGCTGCTGAGCTCTTCTCGAAATCCGTGCAGCTGCGTAGCAAGGAGAGCTCGAGTGCTGCCTGTTCATGTAACGTGGGCTTTAACCTGCTTCAGAGATGTGAGCTGGGTTTCCTGACATTCCCAGCTGTCAGAGGGAACTTTGCAGAACCCCTTGCTGTTTTCAGTCTTGTTTGAAAGCTGCTTTTCTCCCTCCTCTGATGAGCTCTGCTGCAGTGCATGATTGTTGTTATTCCCTTTCCCTCACTCCTCTCTATTGGGTTCCTCCGCTGTTGAATTGATGTGACACTGCTGGCTTGGTCCTCCCTGCTGCTCCTTGCGTGGCAAAGTAGCGAGGAGAACCAGACCTGCCTTTGTACAGGGCTGTGAAAAGAAGACTTGGCTGGAATATGCCTTGGATGTACTTAGTGAGAGGAACCGCATTCTGAAAACCCCAGAGGGGCATGGATGCGTACGAGGGGGCAGATGCCTAGCCCGTCAGTTACTCTGCGGGAAAAGTAAGGATCTTTGCCCTTCTTACGGCAGCCAAGGTGAACATATTTATGTACCTATGCAGCATTTTTAACTTCACGACTTGTATATAATCCTTTGGAATCCAAGTAGACTGCCCAGGCTTGCTGGCAAAGTACACGTGCCTGCTTAAAGGCTGTGCCCGCAAGGCTTACGAAAACCTGCTCGAGTCTTGCAGGGATGGATGGCATAGGCCCGCTCACACATGGGCATGGGAAGTGTCCTGCTTAGCAGTAGCAATTGGATTTTTCCAGTCCTGATACTATCAAATTCTTGTTGTGTTTCGCAGTACGAGGGGTATGTGTTAAATCTATTTTGAAAGCATTCTAAAGAGATGAGCACAGACTCTTTTTAGCTCAGCAATGTTTGTGCAGTATTAGGAGAAAAACCAAGTAATGTTTTTCTTCCCTTGTTTTTAAGGAAACATGATATGTGAGGGGTGGAACAATGCTTTGTTTCAGGAAATGTTATCCGTTTCCATTGTAGGGCTAGATGGATTCTGTTTTTAAATGTGGCATTTTAAAAAGAACAAACTCTGATGTTATAAAGACACGGAAAACTGATTCTTCGTTAGGGGTGGAGAAAGTGACTATTGCTGTGTGTTTTCTGTGATAATATCTGATAGCCCCCTTCTGTCCTGCTATATTCAGCGTGTTTAGTTGTCAGGCGTTGTCGGACTGAATTCTAAAAATAACAAATAAGAGGGAGGCTCTACTGGGCAGCTCTGTCTACTGTGTGCCACTGAATTTAGCTCCTTCGTGAAAAGGGCAAGAGCAACCTGCAGCCTTCTGGTCGAGTTGGATTTCGGTTATAAACTCTGACCACACTCTGTGCTGCTTTCCCAGGCAATTCTTTCACATGTGTATGGGACACTGAGAGTTTTGGAGATGAAGGACTGGTTATTCTCTTCTCTGTCTGCCTGGAGTAGAAAATACGATTGGGAAAGCTATACTTAAGTGCTTGATTTCTAATTCAGAAATTCTTCATGTGATCCCTAAAATGCCACGTCTGGTTGCCCTAGCCCACACAGAAAACTTCTTTGCTCCTGTTCATGGTGGAGAAATGAACACTCTGCTCTCAGACACTGCTGTGTTCTGTGTTTAAAGGCTTAAACAGTGCTGCTGGGCTCCTTCCTGGTAAAGTTAAAATGTGACTGCATTGTAATGCCCTGTGGTGACCAGATGTCAGAAATAAAAACAGGCTTCTTGATGCTGCCTGGACACAAACTTGCTTGTGCCGCAGCTTCCACTTCTCTAATCTGCTTTCTCCGGGAGCTTTAAAATGGCTTTGCTGCAGCCCTGGGGCATAATGGTGGTGCCCCCCTTCTCCATGACTCTAGCAGGGTGTCTCTGATGGTTGCCAAAACAATGTTTCCGTACCCTCTGGGAACAAAGATTTAAGCAGGTGAGGTGTGGCTGGGGAGAAGCGCCAAGCCTGGGAGTTCCTGTCCTCCCAGCAGTTACGGCTCGGATGGATGGACCTGCTCAGCGTGGCCGCGCGCCTCGGACGTGCTCCGGCGGCAGCTCTGCGGGCAGCCCTTGGTTTTCAGGCTGAAACCGTCGGTGCGGAGGCCAGTGCTGAGGGTGGCTGTAACGACGTGAAAACAAGTCTCTTGAGATTGGTGGGGCACTCTGCAGACCACGAAGCGACCATCAGAAGGTAGCAATTGTTAGAGCGTTCCCAAGTCAGACCAATTTCTTTCTGGGTTTTACAGTGTAGAGGCTCTCGTTCCCAAGCCAGCCATGAGTAGGCCAGTGCCCAGGAATGTGTGGTGGGCTTTCTTGGTAAATGGGGGAAAGTGAGGAATGCCCCTGTTTGCTTTGGAGAGGGGAAGCCTCAAGAATAGCCTTCTGTGCTTTAGCCTGGAGCAGATTTTACTTTGGATGAGTGTGCTGTTCTCTCATTCCATCGCTGGCGTACACGCACGTACTGAGGACACGATTTTCAACACGTGTTGTCACAGAAGCTACCCCTTGTTCCTAAGTGTGTGTGTAGCCAAGGTCAGGCCGTGGCTGGCTTTCAGCCCTGCTG